GCAGCTTGAGTCTTCCCGTCCCACGGACTCCGAGTCACGAGGCCTTTGGGCACTTGGTGCACTTTGCAGGTGTCGCTGTGCACGTGGCTTATCTGGAGGCCCCGCCCCCCGCCCCGTCCTCGGCCGCAGGGCCTGTGTGCCCTGGGCTGGGCAGAGAGCCCGCAGAGGTTGGCCTTAGCTAGACGCTGGCCGAGCACTCGCGTGTGCACAGGCTCGAGCAGTTCACCCGGAGAAAACTCCCGAGACCACCGACCGCCCTGCAGGTGCAGAGATACAGGCCTGTCTTCCAAACAAAACGGCTTCGGAAGAACCGGGGCGGCAGCCTGGGGAGAAGCTGCTGGCAAGCACAGACACCCTGTCTCCTAACCAGCCACGCCCTGCATAGACGCGGCGCCCAGCTCTGTAAAATCTGGGACGGAGAGGGCTGGGGGAGGGCTCAGATATGTTGCCTTTCCATTCTTTTTTTAAAAAAAATTTTATTTATTTATTCATGAGAGACACACAGAGGGAGGCAGAGACACAGGGAGAGGGAGAAGCGGGCTCCCTGCACGAAGCCCCATGCGGGACTCGATCCTGGGACCCCGGGGTCACGCCCTGAGCAGAAGGCAGACGCTCAACTGCTGAGCCCCCAGGCGGCCCTTGCCTTTCCATTCTTAAGAAGAAAGATTTAGTAGGAAACATGGCCAGTAAATGTACATTCGCATGCTCCGTGGTGGGTGCTCGCTTAATGATGGAAAGAACGGTGACCTCCCAAAGGGCGGGCTTCGGGTCGAAGAGGCCAGGGGCCGAGTCCTGGCTTTGTCACCCATGAGCTGGGGGACCTTGGGCCAGCCCCATCACTTCCCTGACTCTCCGCTTGCTCAGGGCCGAACAAGGCCCAGTCCTCAGGAATGTCCCCGGGGCTAAGGGGGAAACAGCCGAGAGCAGCGTTGAATTCATACTCCACGGGTCGGGTCGCAGCCAATTGGCTCCCGCATGAGATCACCTGGGAAGACGCAAACTGGGACCCTGTGCTGCGAAACGCACGTGCTGTTAACTAACGGTCAGCGACTCCATCGGCTCGAGGGCAAGTGTGTTCCTCGGCAACCCATTCAACCCCCGCCAGCAACAGGCAGGGACCATGACTATCCTCTCTTGCCAGGGGGCGCAGATGGCTCAATGCGGCGTCAGATGTGTTGGCCCAGGTCACACAACTACAGGGTGGCAGGAGCAGGATTGGGGGATTTGGTGGCGGGCCATCCAGTTGTGCCAACCTGCCATCTGGATAATTCAGAGTGGCGTGAACAAAGCTCTGTGGCCGTCGGAGCCCTGGCCTCTTTCATGAAGGACAGGGGCTCAGCCGGACCCTCCGCAGGGGAGGGGCTCCTGCATCCGGGATGACAGCTGAGTGGAAAGGGGGACACGCCTTCCGATGCGCGCTGGTGGTGCTGGGAGGAAGCCGTCATTTGTTCGCATACAAGTAAGTTGCCCACATTTGCTCAGAGGCTGTAGAGGACGAAACACCTTTCCTCCTACCCCTTTAGGTGTCCTAACCGGGGCCTGTGAACTAAACTAGCAAGAGACCCCTTAGGAGGAGAAAAGGCTTCATCTCCTGTGCGTGATGGGAGCCAGCAAAGAGTAGCGGGCTCCGTAAGGGGCTAGAGTCAGAGGGTTACATGTCTAACCTAGTAGAGAGAAGCTGGGAGAAACGGCTTCCATGAGAAAAACGGGTTTTGGCGAGAAAGGGTGGGAGAAAAGAAGGCTTGTGATGATCGTCCAGGTAGGAGTGATTTTCCCATCTCCCTCAGGACCGTCAAACTCCTCCGGAGAAGAGACTTGCGGTGGCTTCGTTGCCAAGGAGCTGCCGCTCTCAGGTGCGGGACCTCTGAGGTTTGCATCGGCACCGGTTGGATGGCAAATGCCATCCTCGGGACGAAGGCCTCCTGCCAACGCGGGGTTCCGGCGGGTCTCCACGGCAGGAGTTAGAGAAGGAATTAGAGACCTGCTCCTTCCCGCAGGAGACAAACAGGGCCGGGGCAGCGTAGGAGCCTCCTTACGTCCAGGGACTATGCTTGGGAGAGCCAGGCTGGAGGGGGACACGAGGGCAGTGAGCCACCCTGCCCCCTCCCCTCCCACTAGGTTTGTCCTCGCCCAACATGGAGCCACGGCCGGCTCTCTGCATGTGGCAGCGGCGCCACGTCATCCTTCCTAGGCCCACCTCATCCATCTACCAGTCCCCTTTCCGTTTTTTTCTTTTTTCAAGATGTTCTTTATTCTTTTTTTAAAAAAAAAATATTTATTTATGATATATATAGAGAGAGAGATTGAGAGGGGCAGAAACAAAGGCAGGCTCCATGCTGGGAGCCCGACGTGGGACTCGATCCTGGGTCTCCAGGATCGCACCCTGGGCTGAAGGCGGCGCTAAACCCCTGAGCCACCCAGGGATCCCCTTATTTATTTATTCATGAGAGACACAGAGAGAGGCAGAGACACAGGCAGAAGGAGAAGAGGCTCCCCACGGGGCGACCATGGGGGAGTCCATCCCAGGAATCCAGGATCCCGCCCTGAGCCCCCCAGGTGTCCCCTTGGCTGGCCTTTTATAGAGAACCTGACTGGGGAGTTGATGGCCTTGAGATTTCTTGTGCATCTTGAGTGAATGACATAGGGCTTTTTGGGTCTGGTGAGACTCTGTGATTACTTGGTAGCCGTCAGAGGAAGACACTCCCTAACACTTGGGGCCAGGAAGCCCTATCTACTTCCTTCTCTGGTTTTGTTGCATCTGGGTGTCCCTGGGATTTCCGGGAGCCGGGCTCTGGGGCCTTCCCCTTATCTTTCCCTGCCTAGCCCTGTCCCTTACCCAAGGACACGGGGAGCCAGAGCTTAGATTTGGGAGCACGGGAGCCTAATCATAACCTTCATTTTTCACTGGTGGGACTTGGGAATTAAATAAACCAAACGTCTACCCTGCCACGTTTCTAGTTTTCAAAAGGTCAAAGACTGCTACGTGCCTTGTTCCTTGATCTTAAATAATAGGAGCCTGCTGCGAGCAAGCACACCAGTGCCTGCTAATCCTTCTATGAACCCCAATCAGGAGGGGCCCCTGCTGTGCCCCCAGGGAGCAGGTTCTCCTTGGGAGAGGTGGACGGAGGGCGGCCCGCGTGTAGTATGTCTTAGGGCTTCTTTTATGCCCAGCCTCCCCCCTGAACCATCCTTTCCTTGTTGATGATGATGAGCTGATGGCTGACACTCGTGGAGCAACCCCCCCACCCCAGGGCTGTTTTAAGTGCTTTCAGGTGTCATCTTACATGGCTGCACAACTCTACAGGTGGGCGCTACCGTGACTGTGTGCCCCCCCCATCCCTAGGATAGTGGTATGAGGAGGTGGGGCCTTTGGGAGGTCCTTAGGTCATGAGGATGGAGCCTCGTGATGAGAGGGGGTCTGTGTGAAGGAGGCTCCAGCGTGCTCTCTGGCCCCTTCCTGTGAGGGGCCCAGAAGCCAGGCCTCTGCACCGGGCACTGGGCTGCGGCGCCTGGACCTCGGACCTCGTACGTTGTGGTGTTCGTAAGTCGCCAGTCCGCAGCGTCTTGTGATAGCAGCCTGAGCAGACTGAAGCAGTTAATTCTTTGTGCGGCTGAGAGAGCTGAGACCTAGAGATACCAGGATCACACGGCGTGTGACTGCCCGAGCTGCGACTCTAAGCCAGCTGTCTGCTTCCACGACTCGCGTGTTTTTAAATTGAGGTATAACCGACCAATGGCATTAGTTTCTGGTGTATAATGTAATGATTTGAAATTTGTATGTTTGGGGAAATGATCGCCACGGTAAGTCTAGTTAACATCCATCACCACGCAGTTATAGAATTTTTCTTTTTGTAATTTTTAAGATCCACTCCCTTAGCAACTTCTAAATGTGCAATGTAGAATTGCAGAAGACTTACATTCTTGTGATATTTTATAAAATTTGCACCTCTTGATCCCCCTTCACAAATTTCACCAACACCACCCACGCCCCTGTGATGTTTGGCAACCACTAACCTATTCTTTGTACCTATGAGCTCAGGGTTTGTTTTTTTTTTCATCGTTTTTTTAGATTCTACATGTGAGATCATCTGCTATTTGTCTTTCTCCTTATTTCAGCCATGTTGTCACAAATGGCAGGATATCCTTCGTTCTTATGGGTGATAGTCCATTGTATATCTACACCATATTTTCTTCATTCATTCATTCATTCTTTCATTCATTCGTTGGTGGACACTTCGGTTGTTTCCATGTCTTGGCTACTATAAATAACGTTTCAGGGAACATGGGGGCATCTGTCTTTTGGAGGACATGCGTTCTTTGTCACCACACATGGCCTTAAGCCTGTGAAGACACAAATGGTCCACAGTACAAGTGCCACAGTCACTGTAGAGGGGGGCATGAAGTGTGCACCTCTTCACTGTAGCTAGGAAGGTTTAACTCTGGTAGAGGATGAACTGCTTTGGTGACTCAGTAAAGAAATCAGTAACTATATTCAAAAATACGTAAGTGAAGTTGCACCCCCTAGATTACCACAGGCCGTCTTTAAATTGGGATTCTAGAACTTACCACCATTTCAATTATAGACTGTCCCTCAAAAGACTGAGTACCTTGCTGCTCAGGGCTGCCCCTTTTGCTACTGTCTTTTCCAGGGGTGGTTGGAGGGCTACTGATCTTGTCCTCAGTTTTGCTCAACAGTTTCCTGCAGAGGTGCTTTTTCTCAAGAACTAATATAGCTCTTTAGAAGGGGGGAATCCCTGCCTAGGGCTCCGTTTTCAGTTTCCAGTTACAACACTTTGTTTCCCATAGCGATGCCTTATCCTACACTTATTCAAGTAACACTGAGGACCAAAAAAATGCCAAGTGATTATTTTTCTCGGTAGTTTAAAATGGGATTCACAGTGAAAATGGCTGCTAGCAGGGAGATGAGAGCATCACTTCTGTCAAGATCCTCTCTGTCCGAAGAAACAATTGCAACATGTGAAGTTACTCTTAAAATCCAAACCTGTTAACTATCAGCTTTATTTTATTTTAAAATATACAAATATTTTGACATGTAGAAGAGTTTCAAGTTGTTGGATTTCAAAAACACCACAGAAAACTGGCACAACAAAGAAATCAATATCAAATGAATCACTCCCGCCTTCCAGTTCCTTCTCCTAACTTAAGGATAGACTCCAGGGAAATCAACAGAATTCATGGGATCAACACTTAAGAAAAAAAAGCCAACACTCATTTGTAACATGCTGCTCTAAGCAGAACCAATTTATGGATCGCTGGTAGGGAGAGTTTCAACGGCAAACTTAGAGCTCCCTTAAAAACAAGTCTGCACAGAGACTGAGTTGATGCAAACTTCCTGCATCTGGGAAAAAATACTCTTCTTGTGAATTCTAACACTCGACAAAATAGAATCGTATTTTGGAGAGGGACCATCCTGGTGCCGGGACTTGCACCAAACCTTCAAGGTTCTGGCTATGCTGACTGGAGGAGTGCTTCAGGCAGGAGAAGCAGGACTCAGAGCTGGGATAAACTGGCCAATGCCACAGGCTAGAAGACGTGCTTACTGGGAGCAGAGTTCTATATCGGGACAGTCGGAATTAAAGTGAAAATCTGTAAGAAGTGAAAACCTCTATTCCAGTGCACGTGCATCCTCAAATTACGGGGCAGGTGAAACTGTCCTATAACAAGGTCCAGCCTAAAAAATTCTCACAATGGAGAATCCAGAGCCAAGATGCCTTAGTTTTGCCGAGTACATTTCCAGCATCTTCCTCTGCATTCTTTTAAGGGAGTACTGTCCCTGTGGGGTCAATGAAAATGCTGGTGTAACTTTTTCAAAGGCAGAACTACATCTCTATGATGAATAGCACTAGTTCAAATATTTGGCCAGATAAAAACTCCTCAGCATAACACGGGCTTTCAGGCCTACATCTCAAGTATTCCTGAGAAATAGTAAAGAAAAAAGTAGCTCTCTTCACATTATAAGGAAAAAATTTTTTCACACCTTTACTTTTCTAGATTAAATACATTGGCAATACTGCAGCTAAAAGAAAAACCAAGGGACTGTTTCCCACTTAAGCCAAGTTGGAAGGAAACCTCCAACGACCTGCTAAAAACTGTGCAAGGTAAAAACAAATGAACACGGTGTAGGGAACCCTCCCTACGTGAAGTGTATGGTGTCAGTACCCACTTGACATTCCCATTACACCAGGAGAGCAATTCAGTTTGGGGAAAATAGTTTAATGTATTGCTCAGAAAAAAAAAATAGTTTCTATTTTCCCATGTCTAACAAAGCAATGGTTAGGAAGTCCAGCGCCACCACGCAACCTTCATTCTGTCCCACACGGCCGAAAAGGAATCCAGGGCGGGCCGGACGTCCAGGATGGTGAACTGGTAGTCCTGGTTGACTTCGCCACCGTCGTAGTAGTCGATGACGTACCTGACTTCAGTCCCACAACGGTTGATGATCCAATCGTGCCTGTCGAAAGGCAGCTCATACCTGCAATGAAAACGTGTTCGTGAGCATGAAAACGCTCACTCTCGGGGCCGAACATCTAACCGGGGAGCAAGGCTTGGAGGATCAGTCTACTGTGTTGAAGGGAGCCGGTGCCAAAGAACCGTGATGAGCCCGGGTCACATGACAGCTCGTCTGCCTGCAAGGCAATATGGTCAACAGAAAAGAGATGCAGGCCAGGGAGGTCAGCTGAGAGGCTGGACGGACCCAAGTGTGAGCAAAGGACGTGTCTACACTGGAAGAGAGGACAGGGATGCTCAGATGCCGAAAGATCAGGGGAGGAGTAAGAGAACAGATCTGAGAAAACAGAAGACAACTCAACTTGGGCTACGATAATCAGACTGGGAGCAACACACGAAACCCTGATCCATCTGCCCCCTAAGCGGTGAACCTGAGGAAGAGGAGGAAATCTACAGCTGAATACTGATCACGCTGTGGAAGATGGCACTGCAGTCCTCAGACTGTCTGGTTTGGGGGCCAACAGAAAGCAGACCCTGACCTGAGGAAGGTAAAATAACATTTCTGTACCACCACTCACCCCATCCAGGAACGAATTCTTGCCCTCGGCGAGTACTCTTTCGCTTTACCTCCGAACCGGATCAATGATGGACCACAGGGACACTCCCTAGAAATTCGCAAACAAGAAAAGCCTATTCAAATATTTTTCCCTCTGTTAAAAACTGTGATGTTGCAGTTTGTCATGCATTTTTCAGTATGCATTTTACATAATTTCACATTTACAGAGTGAAAGTACTTTCAAAACAATTCAAAGAAATATCCCTGTTCGTTCAAAATACTGCTCTTTATTTCTGCATCAAGTATGTTCTGATTATCTGTGCTGTACTTTGCAGGAGTTAGGGAGTGGACTTTCCATTTGGGGGGCGGATATAGGTATTCTCAGGGAAAAAAAGTGTTAAGTACTGGGCATTATACTTTCACATACTGCAGCTGGATTATTTTTTAGATGAATGAAAGAAAATCCTCTAGTCTTCATTTGAAACCAAAGAACAAGCTATTACGAAGAAAAACGCTGGACGAATCCCTGAGAACAAATGAAATTAGTGCTGGACCAGCTGTTTAAGTAAGTGAATCCGAGATGTCCCTATCTTGTCAGGTGCTGTCACTGTAAGGAGAGACTTTAGCCTTGCGGGGCTGAAGGACATGGGTGGGAGAAAACACGGCCCAGGGTAACTGAGCCCTACGTGAGGCCCATCGGAGTCCCCTCACTTGTTGCTTTATCAACTACTCACTAGCATCTCTTCTCAAGAGGGTCCCCTCTGAGGAAGGTAAAATGACATTTTGTTGAGTGGTCAACCCAGGCACGCGATCTCCTGGGGGCTGTAGCAGGGGTCTTTGAGGGACCCTGGGAAATGACCAGAATGGGGGCTGAAGCAGACAAGGTGCAACCTCCTGTTTGCCTTCTCTGTGCTCCGAAGTCACGCCACAAGTAGTTAGCAGGTGGCTTTCACTACACACTTGCAGACGCTTGCGGGTCACTTTGTTAGTGAGCTGGGAGAGGACAGATCTGCATCCTGCTGGCCTTGGGTTACTGAGAAGGGAATCCTGGTCGCTGGGCCCTTCCCTCCTCACATGTACCCCCTCCCAGGTGTGGTGGCCAGCCAGGGACACCCAGGGAGTGCCACTAACGAACCTCAGAGTCCAAATATTAAAAAAAAGAACACCTTAACAAAGTCATTCAGTGGATTTTAGCCAAGAAGTTAATCACATTTTATCAAGAAATTAAAATGTAATCCACCAGTGGCGATAGAGTCTGGCTTTTTGTGCTACCATTCCCGACGCCTCCCCTTCTCAAAGCAGACTCCTCAAACCAGCAGCATTTGTGTTCCAGAAACGCCACCTCTGGGCCTGACCCCAGATCTCCAGAATCAGAAACACCGGGGGTGGGGGCCTAGCACTCAGTGAACCCTTGGGCCATGCGACGCTGCTCAGGGGTGAGGACCACCGCTCAAACAGACTGGCGGTCCATGACTGCCAACACACTCGGCTGCATTTACCTATTGTCTCTGAGAAAAAGACGAACGTGCTAAGACATCTCTTGATGTTTAGCCCTAACAGCGAGGAATTCAATGCTGCTAAGGGAACAGAATTGCTTTTTTCATCAGCCTCAGGACAGAGAGCAGTGTTATCTCCCATCCCAAGTGCTGTGTCTTGAATGGACCAGGGCATTCCTTCCGTTGAGAGGTGGGGCCCATGGCCCCTCCCTTGGAACCTGGGCAGGCTTGTGGGACTGCTAAGGCCAGGTCAACGAGGGAGATGCAGCTTCCCCGGAGCTTTCTGGAATTCTAGCTCTGGAAACCCAGCCACCATGATGTGAGGCAGCTGAAGCAGCCACACTGAGAGGCTGTGGGTTAAGTGTTCTGGCTGACAGCCAGCATCAAGGAAATGGTCCAGCCACCCGAGGATTTCAGCCCGTGGCTGTCAAGCCATCCCTAATCAGAACCTGGCTGAGGCCCTAGACGTTGAGAGCAGAGATGAGCCATGCCTGCTGTCCTTTCTGCACTCGGGACCCACCAAATCCACAAGCGTAATAAAATGGTCGCTGTTTCACACAGCTGCGTGGGAGTGCTCTATCATACAACAGTCCCTGAAACAGGCCTGCTACCTACAATGTATTAGAATAACACATTGTTTGAATGAAAACTTACAACTCTAGAAAGCAGAGAGAAAATACGAAAGATGTTGGAAGGGTGGTTTTTTAAGATCTCAAATATACTTACGCAGCATGAAGGGCTTCCCACTTCAAAATCTCCTTCCAGGCTTGTTCGTTATTCTGATTGTGAATTCTGATGATGTTATACATATCTTTCTGACTAATATCGTCATCCTTCCACTTCCACCTAGGAAAGAACATTTGGTAAAACTCAATAAACCTTACTGATAATGCTATAAAATCAATCCACATACTCATTGCACCGGGTCACCAAAAACTACACACTTATCAAGGGACCATAAAGTGACACTTTTTCAGTCAGTACCACTGATTGATGATTCCGCAACCTTTTCTGTGTATTTGACATAATAGGTGTTTTTTAAAAAACTTCTACTGGCTATGGTAGGTTAACCTTATGTGTCAACTTGACTAGACCATGGGGGCCCAGATATTTGTCAAACATTTTTCTGGGTGTGTCTGTGAAGGTGTTTTGGATGAGAATAACATTTAAACATAGTGATCTCCCTAACGTGGGTGGGCCGTATCTGATCCGTTGAAGACGGAAAAACAAGAATGAGCCTCCTGCAAATAAGAGGGAACTCTTCCTGCCTGGTTGCCTTCAAAGTGGGACACTGTTTTTTTTCCTGCCTTTGGACTGGAATGAAAACATCAGTTCTTTCTGGGTCTTGAGCCTGCCAGCTTTTGGATATGAAGTACACGTCAGCTCTTGTGTCTCCAGCCTGCTGACTGCGGATCATGGGACTTCTCAGCCTCCTCCATAACCACGTGAGCCAATTCCTTATAGTAAATCTCTATGTATAAATATACACACATCCTATTAGTTCTGCTTCTCTGGAGAATCCCAACTAGTACACTAGCCTTGCACTTAAATTCTTTTAAGTCTGAAAAATCAGTTGAATATTCTATACTGACTAGCTTATAAAATCTTACTGTATGTTTTTGGGATGAAAACTTCTTTCACATTTAGTTCTTAGATGCATTGAATGAGCAAAGTTATACTCTCAGTAACATGCTCACTCACCCTTTCCGTAACATTGCATTCCAGAACATCTGTTCGGAAGGATAGACCCACTTTTTCTCTGAATCTGCTCTCGGAATGGATGATTCCTCTCTCACAGTAGATAGTGCAAATGGCTGGTCAGGGGCCGGCATCTGATTCGGTGGTGGCATCTAAATAAAGCAGATTTTTTAAAAATGTTGGAAATATGATATAAAGTAGAAGCAAACAATATAATTAATGACTTTCTGGAAAGTAATGCATCACACACTAGGTACAGGTTCCCTATGAAGCCAGTGACATCAAAATTTCAGACCTCCCAGATAATTTGGCTGTTTTGAAGAGTCAGAGTTCTGCAATTTTGTTTAAGTTCTCACAAATGGTAAATACACATTGTAGTTACATTTTCTCTTTTTCTCCTCAAGGATTAAGAAGTATAAACTAACACCACGACTACAGATGTTTCTAAAAACCTTTTTATGAGGTTTTCAAAAATGACTGTTCACTCTTCTGAGGAAGTCTCATAAACTATATACACACCACTTTCTTTTTAAATACTTTTAGGCTCTTGCTGATGCTTTGTCTTTAGGCTGAATACATCAGAGAGGAGTAGCGACACCATCACACTGCCGGATTGGAACGAGGGCAAGCAAGAATCCTTCCTCCCACACGTAAGGGGCGGCAACACTGTTTTGCACTTTCCCTGGACCAGGGTTCTCACCCCAGGCACCACTGCCATTTGGAGTGGACAACTTTTGGTTATGGGGTTATGAGCACTGTAAGGATATTTAGCAACTTTGCTGGTCTCTACCCATTAGTACCCCTCCTCCCAAGTTGCAACAAACAGTGTCCTTCCAGGGGAAAAGTCATGCCTGGTTGAGAACCCCTGGCCTAGAGGTTCTTCTGTGTTCAAAGTATGAAGGATTCTCTAGCAGATACACATTTATAAAATCCCAATACAGCCCCGGGTGAGAATGATGGCAGTGGGAGAACCAGGTATGCTAGGTACCACACTGAGCATTTTACCTGCATTATCACCACAGGTTTAAGGACACATGCCAGAGGCGCTTAGGATTCACTTTGGGACCTGCCACTTCCTAGCTGAGTGATGTGGAGCAAACTGAGTCCTTGCTCCTTCTTGGTAGCTTCAACTCTGAAAACAGGGACACTAACACTCCTGGCTGTGGAGTGGTGATGAGGATTACTGGAGCATGTGTACAATGCTTAGCACAAGGGCTATAGATACAACCAAAAGAAATGTTGGCCGTTATTAATATTCTTGCGAGGTAACAATCCTGGGGTAAGAGTCTAGGTCTCTGGGATTCCAAAAGACCCGTGTTCTGACCCACTTAGGCTATTAGAGATTATCTAGAACAGTAGTCTTACAGGGGGCACTTTTAGGAATGTCTGGAGACATATCAGGTTGTTGTGATAGAAAAGAGGGTGCTCCTGGAATCTGGTGGGTGAACAGCAGGGATGCTGTTAAATATCCGATAGAGCACAGGACAGCATCCTACTGCATGGAACCGACCAGCCTCAAATGTCAATAGTGCTAAGGGGGAGAAACCCTAATCCTGGCCACCTTCCTCAACACAGAAGTTTCCTTATAGCTTGGCTGAGTCATTACTGAGTGTTGAAGCGGAATGTTTGTGTCCCTCCCAATTTACCGAATCTGCCAGCACCTTCTAATAGGACTTGTCAGCCTCTGGAAGCCTGAGGAAGAGCTGTCTGTTGTATACAAACCACCCAATTGATGGTACTGTTATATATATTATAATACACACATATCCCATACCGCTTCTCTTCCAGACTAAATATTTCTAGTTCCTTCAAATGTTAGCCAAGATTTCTAAATACTTTTGATAACCCTGGCCTTCTAAAAAACCCTGTTCTGGCCTCCTAGAGTACAGATTTGAGTTTGTCTCTCCACCAAAAAATGTGATTTCAAACAGGAAACCTCCATTTCCTACACTGTCTATCACAGAATGTGATGAGGCACTGCTTGTCTTGTGCTTACTTTCTCCATGGCATTCCACTGGTGGCTGCCACATGACACTGTACCACATCAGTGACTCTCACATAGGCTGGCACCTGGCTGTGTCGGAAGCAGAGCCCTAATCAGGCATCACGCCTATGAGGTTTCCCAAAACCAGAAATACCTTTACCAATTCTAGCTGCACTCCTAGTGGGATCTCCTGCCTTCCACTTATCCCCAAAGGAAATATTCCTTTGGCCTGGCTTCCTTCCAGTCAACCTACTCTAGCACTTCGTGATCACTGCTGTCTTTAACAGGCACTCTCAAAACTACAGTTAGTGACGCTTTCTGGATTTTCAGTGTGGATGGAAAATGAGACTTCTTTATTTTAAAAGGAAAGGAGAATTAATCCTAGCAGTCAGCAGTCTGTCTTAGGAGTCCATAAAAGCATCTCTCCGTGAAAAAGTTCCAGGAAGAGGGGCAGAGTGAGAATTACCAGATTAGAAGGATCTAGGTTCTCCTTATTCTCAGCCATAGCTCCCATAACAGGACATTCCACGTACTCATATGCACGATCTTGGTGGGCAGGCACAGAGTTCATTTTGTTCTCACAAGTTGGGTCAGATGGCTCTGCGCTCACTGGACAGCCTGAAATAAATCAAGCATAAAAACAGTGTCACCACAAAGGCAGGAGATCTGGCTCTCTCGATCTGGGCTCTAAAAAGCTGGATTTCTGACCAGTGATCACCATCAAAGGCATAGTCAGGTTTCTACTATTCCAAGCTGCCAAGAGCTAAGCTAGCTAACATTCTAATATCCTAAAGGCCAGGAAAAGGTTTTATAAATTTACTTCCTCTTGAAAGAGAAATAGGTACCCATTCCCATACTGTGTCACACCCCCAGCAAAAATAAACCAAAAAAACTCCTCAACATTTCCAAGAGAATGTATTTTTCATTCCATGGTTTCAGCCAGTGGGCTTGAAGGTACCTGCTTGGGTTCCCAGCAGTGAACTGCTGCAGAGTAACCCAAGCAGAGACCCAGCCATGTTTTACCAGGTCTCCCTGACTTTCAATTTGCGAATTCCAGACAAGGTCCAGGCCTGATCAGGACACAGGAGGCCAGGCTTACTGATGTCTTCTCTCAGGTACTAGAGACAGGAGATGAAAATGAGCAGAGGAACCTTCAAAAAGACTCCTGGACAGAAGTCTGAATGCCACTCTGCTTGTGCTTTGCTCCAGCACAGAAACAAGGCACAGAAAACTACCCCTTGGCTGAGGTTCTATTCCCCATCAGTTGATAGCAAGCGTTTAGCAAGAATAGGCACACGTTAAAGCAAATGCTCCACAATCCACGTAGGATCCAGGTGACACTTAAGAAGGGAGGTCTGAACCTAAGGAGCAGCAGCAGGAAGGGCAGATGATATCCAAGAATCCAGGGTGCAAATGGAAGCAAGTATGAGACTGAGAAGCTTGTTTTAGACTGAGGAGAGGGGGCAGGCTCCAAGAGAGCCACGGTCCAGGAAGACAGCTGCCCAAGTAGGGATCCTTGTGTCAGGCAGCAGCTGTGATGCCAAGAATGTGCTGGATGCCTTACATGCCAAAGACAAATTTCCTTTCCCTTCCTTGCCTCTGTTTCTCCTCGCAGACCCTCATTCCCTACGACCCTGTATAGCTTTCCACTTGAGGGGTGAAGGGAGACTTGCTATACCACCTTTCCTCTCCACCATTCAAAGTGCCAATCTCTTCTGGGTCACTGCCCCCACCTGGGTGTTAGAAAATACTGTTACTTTTCTCATATAACAAGGAGCCTCTTTAGTCGCCTACAAATACCCACATTCTTTACTAATGGAAACCAATCTGACTGACAGCTCTTCTGGACACACAGTAAATGAAATTAAACCTTATCTACCCGGGGACACTCAGGGCAGGAACACAACAGCTTTGTCCAAGCTTTGTCTGTTTTAATTCTTCCTGTACAGAGAAACCCTGGAAGAACACTGAGTCTGTCCTTGTCCAAGGTCACAGAGTTTTTGCTGGCTTTGCCACTTATTAGCTGTGTGGCTTTTAAGTTCGTAGAATATAAAATAGGGGGAAAAAGCCTACCATACAGGATTATGAGAATGTAAACTCCATCAGGCAAAGGTTTTTAGTGTTCTATACATTGCTATTCTCTCAGTGCAAAAACAAAACCCACCAGTGCTTGGCACATAGAGGGTAGTGAGAAAATTCTTGCTCAATGATCAAGGGAATGAAAGACGACAACGCAAGGAAGTGTTTTTCAGGCCATAGTTTTGTATAAACAATCTAAAGCAAATGTGGACCAGTGAGGAATAAGAGCTTTTCCATTCTCACCTCTGCACCTAAGGAAAGAATGGCAAGACCATAAGTGATGACTTACTTTCACAAGGATGGATAATCAAATGGATGTAAAGTTGCCTTGACAAATACAGACAGATCTAGACCTAGGTTTTTCAACCTTAGCACTCTTGACATTTGGGGCCAGGTGATTCTTTGTTGCAGAAAGGTACACTGCACACTGTAGGTTATTTACCAGAACTCTTGGCTTCTACTCACTGGATGCACCACCTCCTCTCAGTTTTGATCAACAAAAATGTTTCCAGACATTGCCAGATGTTCCCTGGGGAATGGGGGTTGCCAGTAGGTTGAGAACCACGGATGGCAAACTTTAGGGGGTAAGGGCTAACGTATGGAGCAATCGCTGCACTCATTCATCTTAATTAACCATCACAATAACCCTGTGAAATATTATTATATCCTCATCTTCTGGATGACTGGTTGTGACTTAGAAAAGTAACTTGTCTACAGTCATATACCTTGTAAATAGCACCAAAAGAACAGAACTCACTGCCTCACTAGAATGTTATGCTACCTCTTCCTTAAAATGCTTTTGAGAAACCTCTTTTATTTTCTCGATAAAGGGTTGATTACCTTTCACTTTCCCTTCATGCATGGGACATCCTGAAGGCGGGGATGCTGTCTGACGATTTGAAGCATTTGAGGTCTGAACTGCAACAGCAGGGGTAGATGCAGACAAACCCATGGCTGGAAGCGGTGCTGAATCCAAGCAATTCTAAATTCAAAGGTGCCAAAGCAAAGAGAGAGATTAATGCTGATGTCTGGGCTCCCACCACTCCCTTGGTGTTCTCAATCTGCCTAACTCTTGTTCTTTCTCCTTGTCATTCCGATGTAAATCTACAGGGCAGGGTATCCACTTTGAGGGATAGCTTTAATGTATTAGCCCCTTTGGGAAACACTAGTGTGAAAACTACACCACATCACTCTTTAGGTGCACATTCCTACGATGTGCGGACTTTGGGGAGGGTGAGATGAAGGGGGTCCCTGAGAGACTACGTCACCGAGGAGTGTAGGTCCGTGGGGAACAGGGGGCCCTAATTGTGGTGATCCTGATGGGAGAAGGGAATCCAGACTGAACCGCAGACCCGGGCTTAGAGAAGGTCTGGGAATCAGGGAAGGGTAAAGCGCAGAAAAGAGACTCGAGAAAGGAAGGAATGAAAGGACCTCCGAGGGGTAACGGGGACAAAGTCATCTTCACACGGTCCCTCTGCGTCCCACCTGTTCCAGTCCGTGACCCCAAAGCCCACCGGCTTCAGCCCGCCGGCCCCTCCGCACCTGACTCTCGTCCCAAGCCGCTCCGAGGAGGCGGCCCCGCCTCTAATCGGCAACCCGCTGCTGCCTTCTCCTCGCCCGGTCACCGCTGTCGTCGCGGTCACCGCTGGCGCTCCAGCGCACCGCTACTTCCTTTTCCGAAGGCGGGACTTCCGGGCGCGCGGGAGGCGGAGCGCGGGCTGAAAATGTCGGCTTCTGTGGAGCAGGGCGAAACGGCCCGCCCCCTCCCGCCTCGACCTATCAGCGCGAGGGCCGCCGCCTGGCCCCGCCCCTCCGGGCCAGCGTGGGCGGGGAGACCGTCGGCTGGGGTGGAGACTTCCCTAGAGTGGGGCTCTGCGCTAAGCCGCGGGTGGGTTGCTCTGGAGGTGTTAGTTTTAAAGTCTCTATCTTTTAAATTGTATCCCATCAGTGTGAGTTCTAGTAATGACTCAAGTAGGTGTCCAGAACCGTGGCCGACTCTGGAGATCCCAAAATGAACCAATCAAGGTTCCGGCTCCCAAGGCTTTCTTACCTGGGTGTGTGGACTTGAAGGTCTGTATTTTCACTTACCTCTAACAGAAATTTAGAATTTTTTCCATCAGGAATGCGGACAACAAATCCTAGTAGTGCTAGGTATATGTGGCGCTGATAGAAACCACGGAGAAATTATGTCACAAACGATGGTTGTTACTGTCTTGAAATACTATTCATCACTACTTCGGAATTAAGATAATTTTATCTTGTGACTTAAAAGTGTTACTAAGAAGCATACGCCTTTCTATATCACCGTGATGGAACTGGGAAGCATCCCAGGGCCCGGGGAGCCATCTCCAAGGGCCTGGGGACTGGTAGCAGCTGACCCCTCTGGTCTGAGTCTCTCTCCAGGAATCGCTCTCTGCCAAAGAGAACTGCCTCAGGCAAAAATCACATCCCGTCCCTGGGGACCGGCTGCTGCCACTTTGGTGGCCTCTGCAAGGGTCCATAAGCCCAAGGCCCTCTCTGCAAGGAGGTCACCTCAGGGCCATCCTAGCATCAGTGGCTGAGACTTCCATTGTGACTGCCTCACAGTTCACTTCTTCCTTTGCCCAGACCTACTGTCACTCTCTCATTGCTGTTCACTCCGATGCACAATTCTTGGAGTCTCAGCCGTTTTAACAAGTCTGATTATTATTTAGATTTGGTGAGGTACAGATCAGAAAACAACTGCCATTGAATAAACAGTTAATTATACTCACAGATCCCAAGAGAGGGGGGCCTACGTCACATGGTAGGGTGCTACATGTAGAAGCACTGGAGTCCTTCACTAGCCAGAGGGAGAGGGGGAAGAGACCAGTGAGGGGTGGGGGTGAGGTGGGCTCTGCAGCAGCCGAACGGTGTATAGCGGCTCAGAATATGAGAGCCCAGCAAGGGGGGTGGTGGGCGAGTGCGGACCTGGCTGCTCAAGAAAGGGAACTGGCCAGCCACTAGCCGCGGCCTCAACACTGGATCAAGACACCATTTTATTTTTATTTTTTTAAGACAGCATTTTAAAACCTATATTATATCAGTGCATATTTCCTGAGGAACCTGACCTTTAATGATCAAAATGTGTTTTTCTAAAATATGTTGATAACTGTATTTCAATATAATTGATTTCCTTAGTGATTTCTTGTATTTTGTTTAATGCATGTAAAAATAGTATTCTGAGAAGTAATCCAAAGGGGCATATGACACTGAAAGACCAAAAATACCTGGTAATGGGAGAGACAGTCATGCAAACAAATAACCATATTCATATCTCAGTGTACGTATGTGCAGACTATTGGAGGCAAGGGGAAGAAGTCACTGTTCGGAGGGTCATGTGCCGAAAGCGGATGGGAAGGAAAGAAGTAACAAGGATGCTTTATAAAAAAGGAGGTACCAGGCCACCGGGGTGGCTCAGTGGTTGAGAGTCTGCCTTTTGCTCAGGTCCCGGAGTCCTGGGATCGAGTCCCACATCGGGCTTCCTGCAGGGATCCTGCTTCTCCCTCTGCCTCTGCCTCTGCCTCTGTGTGTGTGTGTCTCTCATGAATAAGTAAATAAAATCTTAAACAAAAAGAAGGAAGTACCAAACAGAGCCTTAAAGTAGAGCTCTCAGTGGGTAGGGAGATAGAGGTGGGGGGATGCTTTGAACCCCAATTCCCACTCTCCCCAGGCAAAGACTTACTACTCTTTAACTGTTTCTTCTACTTTTCCTTCCACGTTCCAAACAACGTGCTGACACAAACACACATGTCCCTCTCCTGTGCCAATAGTTAGAGGCTTGGGACACATCACAGTTTAGTATTTACAGTATTGTGGCTATGAAAATATTTGTTATGACCAAAGACGATTTTTTTCTTATGCAACTTCTTCACTAGAATTTTATACTTGCCTTTCCCCCTTTGTCTGTCTAGATTTTTAGGTTTTCCCTAAGCTTCCTGTCCCCATGGTAAATCTCCTCTCAATGCATTTAAATATATCAACTAATGTTTATGTCTCTCTTTTCCCCCTTGAGACCCCACTCACAGATAAGCACCTCACCTCTGCCAAGGCCCAATTCTCAGCTGCTCTCTAAGGACTTCCTTTCAATCTTCTATCCTGTGTTGGATCTCTGGTTCTTGGATACCATGCATTCTTCTTCACATTGTTTTGGGAGCACATCAGCTTTTGAGGTCTTGAAAATCAGAAACTGTCAGTAGTTTACCTTCCCATGTGATTGATTGGTAGTTTGCATGTGTAATTCTAGATTTAAAACTTTTCTCTTAGAATTGTCAAGGGGTTGCTTCATTGTCTTTTTTTTTTTTTGCTTTTTTTTTTGCTTCATTGTCTTAATTTCCATTTCTGATATTGAAAAGTTGAGTGCCATTTCTTTTTTTTAAGATTTTATTTATTTATTCATGAGAGACACAGAGAGAGGCAGAGACACAGGCAGAAGGAGAAGCAGGCTCCCCGCGGGGAACCTGATCCGAGACTCGATCCCGGGAATCCAAGATCATACCCTGAGCCAAAGGCAGAGGCTCAACCGCTGAGCCATCCAGGTGCCCCCTTTCTTTTTTTTCCCCTCAACAATATTTTTAACTTCTCTTTTCTTCTAGTAGCCTGAAAAGATGTACCTCTTTGCTTTCATTGGCTTAGCACCTGAGGGGACCATTCATTCTGGAACCCATGACCTTCACATTGGAGATATTTTCTTATATTAATAATTTTCTTGATAACTTGCTCCACTCCTTTCTTCATTTTCTCTTTTAAGGAAACTCTATTCCTCATATGTTGTATTCCTCGAGTGACACTCTAATTTTCTTATGCTATTCTATCACTTTTCATCTTGTTTTATCTTACAAGATCTTAAAAATTTTCCAGCCATTTTATGTTTATTTCTCTTATCATGTTTGAAATTTCCAAGACATGTGTGCATATATATTTGTATGTATGTGTGTTTGTATGTGTACATGCATGTCTACATGTGTGTATGAGTATGTGTGTGTGTGTGTCTGCCCGTACAAGGCAGTGCCCGTGAGTTTGCCAATCCATGGTAATGTGGTATGAACTCCTGCTGTCAGATCCAAGGGTTTAGCACAGAGGAAAAATTGAAGCTCTTTTGTAATTACAAACTGAATTTATGACTGGTTCTTGTAAAATAAGTCTCCTCTCCAAACCTACAGTTGGCTTATGTTTACAAAGTGTTGCTTTTCTACTTCTTTGAGCTCCCACAATTCCATGTCTTATGCATGATTCTCCTTTTTCCCCATCATTCCCTGTATCTTTGATAATTTCCCACCTCTCTCCAATTCTTCACTCTTTCACGATTCTCTGCTCCCTCATTATATTCCTCCCTTTACAGTTCCTCAGTTTGTCCCACAATTCCCTTTCTAACAATTCTGTCCTTTTCCAGAATTCCCCATGTCTCCCACAGTTTTTTTATGATCTCTCACAATTCCCTATCTCACACTCTCTGTTATTTCCCATGATTGTTTCTTCCTTAACTCCCTGTCTTTCCCACAATTTTTGTGGCAGGATTTTAAAAATATCTTTTAAATTGAGATATGATTGACATATAATTTTATATTAGTTTTAGGTGTACAGCATAATGATTGGGTATATGTACATATTGTGAAATGATCACCATAATAAGTCTAGGTAACACCCGTCACCACACATAGTTATAAAATTTATTTCTTCTGATGAGAACTTTTAAGATATGTTGTCTTAGCAACTTCGAATGTATAAGACAGTATTGTTAACAGTTGTCACCATGCAGTACTTTATACCCCCAGGACTTAATTTATTTTACAATGGGAAGTTTGTACCTTTTGACCACTTCCATCCACTTCACCTTGTCCCCACCCCCAGCCTCTGGCAACTACCAGTCTGTTCTATCTATGAGTTTGTTGTTTTGGTTTGGTTTGGTTTTTAGATTCCACATATAAGTGAGATCATATACTGTTTGTCTTTCTTTGTCTGACTTAGTTCACTTAGCAAAATATCCTCAAGGTCAATCCATGTCACCAATGACAGGATTGCCTTCTTTTATATGGCTGAATAATATTACATTGTGTGTGTATCACATTTTTTTTATCCATTTGTCCATTGATGGACACTTATTTAGTTTGCTTCCATGTTTTGGCTATTGTAAATAGTGCTGTAGTGGACAGAGGGGGTACATGTATCTTTTTGAGTCAGTCATTTCCTTTGGATAAATACCTAGTGGAATTGCTGGATCATTGGGAAGCTCTATTTTTAATTTTTCCAGTCACCTCCATAATGTTTTCACAGTGGCTACATCAATTTACATTGTGAACAACAGTTCACAAGTGTTCCCTTTCCCCCATATCCAACTTGTTATTTCTTGTCTTTCTGGGAGTAATCATTCTAACGGATGTGAAGTAAGGTCTCAGTTGGGTTGATTTGCATCTCCCTGATGAGTAGTGATGTTCAGCACCTTTTTAAAAAACATTTATTTATTTATTTGAGAGAGACAGAGAGAGAACGCATACGTGCACATGAGAGGGGAAGGGATAGAGGGAGAGGGAAATCATCCTCAAATAGACTTCTTGCTGAGTGCAGAGCCCGACATAGCGCTCGATCCCTGAACCCTGAGATCATGACCTGAGCCGAAACCACGAGTCAGACTTTCAACCGACTGAGCCACCCAGACACCCC